CCTGAGCCCTGTGGGGCCGGCCCACCCCCAGCCGCGTCTCTGGCCAGCGGCTCCGCCCACCACCCGCATGCGCACTTCCTCACTTGGGCTGGTGGCTCCGGAGCTCCTTCTCCTTGTCCCGGTCGTCGACCTCGCCCTCCTTCTCCGCCGCCTCCTTCTCCACATCCTCGTGCGTGGGCCGCGCCTTTTGCCGGGCCCGGTGCCGCCGCGCGGGCTCCTCCCCGCTCCCGGCCTCCCTGGGGCCGGCCCGTGGGCCGCCGCGGTGGCGCGCTCGCCGCTCGCCCTTGGCCCCGGCCGCGCCGCCTTCCTTGCCCTGGTCGGGTGCGTGCCGGTGGGTGCGGTGGCGCTACGGCTCCCGCTCGGCCGCCTCCTCTGGGGAGCCGCGCCGGTGGTGGCGCCGGCCGCCCTCGGGGCCCGGGCCGCGGCCCCGCTCGCTTCGGGTCTCCTTGCTGCGGCTGCGGTGCGGCCTCGTCCGCTCTTCCCGGGCCCCGGGCTCCCCGCCCTCGGCCTTCGGCGCGTCCACCCTGTCCTGCTCCCCCGCTGCCGCCGGGGCCGGGGCCGGGGCCGCAGCCTTGTCGCGGTGCCGGTCGGGTCCGCGCCCTCGGCAGCCTCCGGGCCCTCGGGCCGGGCCTTGCCTCCCGCGGGGACCCGTGGCCCGTCGCGCCCTAGCTCCACCACGAGCGGCCGGTCCAGGTGCGTCTTCATGTCAGGCCCCAGGTGGCGCCTGGTGGCGTAGCGCAGCCTCTCCTCGGGCTCCATCTCGCTGTACAGCGCCTCGCAGCTGGCCCTCAGGTTCTGCAGCCGCAGCTGGCTGGCGCGCTGCTCCCACACCGAGTGCGCCTTGGCCGAGTTCTACGGCCTGCTGTGGGGTGACCGGCGGTGAGCGGCTGCCCCCTGCACCGCCCTCCGACTTCTCTGCCTCACAGGGGAAGCCACAGATGGACGCAGCGATGGAGGGATGGCAGAGTGGGCGCAGGGAGGAGGGGGAGGGAGGAGGGGTGGCCGGAGCCCTCGAGACCCCTGGCAATCGGTGCAGACAAGTAGGGGATACGCAGGGTAACAAGAATCCAGCACCGCCCCCACCCCATTAGGATCCCAAAGATTGTGAGAGCACCAGCCTGGGGGTGGGGGGTGGGGGGCTCAAGGCCACCCCTGAGCAGGTGTACAGGGGCCCCTGGCCAAGGGATGCAGGGCAGTGGGAATGACAGGCACCAGCATGAGGTGGCAGACAGGCTTCCAGGGCGCGTGGGCTGCTGGCCAGGAAGGCCAACATGGGGAGAGGAGGGGGATCAGCGTCCAAATGCGGCAGGACTGAGGAAGAGGCAGGAGGCAGCGAGTCCCCTGCAGCAGCCCTGGGGCATTGGCCTTGCTGCAGCATAGAGCAGAACTGCCCAGGGAGGGGCTTCTCCATCTCCACTTCCAGAAAAATAGCCAGTAGCCAGAAGGAGACAGGGCTATTTGTGAGAGACCCTGAGAAGAGGTGGGTCCTCAGGAACGGGGTAGGCAGTAGCCCAGGGAGCAAGGGGCCAG